CACTGCTGGAGGAAGGGAAGTGTGTCCCCGTCCCCGCTCTCCCCACCACCCCGTTCCAGCACCACCAGGTCCAGGTGGGTTTGGATGTGGTTGGACGATGCTCCTCAAGAAGAAAATGAAACCAAAGGTGAGGACATGGTCATTCACAGTTGACTGGTGGGTGAAACAACCCCCAGAGTATGACACCCCCGGCTCACCAGCCAGGAGGGACCTGTCCCAGCTCCCTTGGCTATTGCAGACGCTTTGAGAAAAAGCCACCCGTTGCACGTTGCGTGTCACAAAAATGGAGTGGGAGGACACACCAAGTCACAAGCAGTCCCTGCACAGAGCCACTTGTCCTTTGTGGTAGTCACGGCAGGGGCAGAGGCGCCGGTACTTGGTGTTGTAGCCCGCACAGCTGAAGAGCAGTGGCTCCTTCTGGAGGTAGCACTCATGGACGTTCTCAGCCACCGCTGGGTAAAGATGGTTCATCTCATACTCGGTGCTGTCGCAGGTGATGCTGAGCCTGGGAACAAAGACAAAGTTGGGTCGGTTCAGGGGAGGAGGCAGCCTGAAGGGTTTTACTGAAGGATTTTTAGTGCTATTCTGTCCTTCCCAGGGAGGTTCCTTCACTAAGCACTGGCCCAAATCTTTGCTGGTTGCACCAGGAACCGTAAGTGCTATGTCTGGCACCCCTTGGCTAGATGTGAATGCAGAAGAGGTGACCCTGGCAACTCAACCCTGCAGCCCAGAGACCACCCCAACTCTTGTGTGGGCCACAGATGGCACAGGAAATCACGCACAAAAATCCACCCAAATCTTTTCTATCCCCCTGCTGACCAACAGACCTGTTCTCTTTCAGTGGACACCTCCCAAGCAGCTCATGTCCCCTGGAATCATAGAATCGCAGCAGGGTTTGGGTGGGAAGGGAACTTTCACAGCCACCCAGTCCAACCCCTCCTGCAGTGACAGGGACATCTGCAACCAGATCAGGTTGCTCAGAGCCCTGTCCAACCTGGACTTGAATATTTCCATGGATGGGGCACCTAACACCTCTCTGGGCAACCTGGGCCAGGGTCTCACCGCCCTCAGTGTAACAAATTCCTCCTTCTATCCAGTCTGAATCTCCCCCCTTTTAGTTTAAAGCCATCACCCCTTGTCCTATCGCCACAGGCCCTGCTAAAGTCTGTCCCCATAATGGATCAGTGGTGCCCACATGTCCCCTGCTAGCCAGGATTAGCCAGCAAAAGCAGGGTGGGCATCAACAAATGCCCCAAGGAGCAGCAGAAATGCCCAGTGGGGATCTCAGAATCCCTCTCCTCTCACCCGTGCCCACGTCTGCAGATGGAGCAGCAGTGCTGGCATCACCATCCCACTGATCTCTCTGATCCCCTGAGCCAGCTCATTTTTGTGTCTGGAGGGGAACGTGGAGGGGAGAGTGAAATCCAAGCCCCAGCTCTAATTTATCGTATAAAAATGTCAGTGGGACATCCCATCGCCTGCCTGACCAGCATGAGAGCAATGGCAATGCTTGCATCTTAATTGCCCGCAGAGCAGCAAGGAGCCCGGTGGCAGATTTATACTCTACTGAAACTTCACCACTGTGTGTTCAAAATGTAGTTTTATAGAGAAAGATATAAAAAAGAGAGAGAAAGGCAGAGAGCTTGGATGAGGTCGAGAGGAACAGTGTGGGAGAGAGGCAGAAACGTGCCTGGAAAGGCTGTTTTTGCCTTCTGAACCGTGAAGCTGGTCAAGGCCAACAAGTGCAAGCAATGGGCTGCTGTGCAGGCAGCTCCCTGCCTACAACCTCCTTGGGCATGAAGGTGTCTCAATGGGATTTTGGGAGGATGGACATGAGGAAAATGGGTTCTGGGGATGGGGGGAGCAAAGGGAGTATCATCTGGCTGATGGACCCCACCACCACCTTGCTGAGAAGGTCACAACTCACTGGAGAAACACCTCCTTCTTGTTGAGGAACCTGAAGAAGGTGGGCTCGCAGACCAGCCCACGTCGCCGGCACGTCTCAGTGCAGGAGTGCTGGGGCTCCGACACCCACACCTGCAGCGAGTCCACCGGGGGCCAGGCATGGGGGTCCCGGCTGGCGCTGGGGGACCACACCAGGTGAGTGGTGTTGGGGGACAGGGCCAGTGGGCTCGGAGGGCTTTGCATAGCAGGACTCTTGGCCTTGGGAGGCAGAGGAAGAGACGACGTGGTGCAGAAATCCTAGTGGGAGAGAAGACAATGGGTCAGTGCCTGGAGGGACAGGGTGAGACACTGTGGATGGGAAAGGGAGGCTGCCAGTGGGACAGGAGGACACCTGGGCTGCTGAGTTCACTCCTTGGGTTGAGGTCACCTGCATGCATAGATGGCATCTCCTGCAGTGGAGATGAAGGTAATGGCCACCTCTTTTTCTCCCAATGCTGCCTTATTTTCTGCAGCAGAAAGACCTTGGCCCAGCCCCAGCACCCCCAGCCACCCTCCACCACCCCTCCAGCATCTTTGCTTCATGACAAACCTCCCCCAGCCCCCATGTCCTGGTGCTCCCTGCAATTAGGCCACTAGCTGCACAGGGCTGGGACCTGCACTGGGTCAGCAGTTGCTTACCCAGAGGAACAGGAACAGACCCCTCGGAGAAGAGGGATAGTTCTCCAGGGAGAACAGGGATGGGTGACCAGGAGAACAGGGATGGATGCTCCCCCAAGGAGAACAGGGATGATCCCCAACCTGGTGCTGAATGTAGGCGTGGATCCGCTCCAGCATCCCCTCGCAGGTGTACTCATAAGGCAGGTAAGGGTCCACCTGTGAAGGGGGAAGAGTAGAGTGCAGGCATCAAGCAGGGACAGCCTTGCCCTTCCCCTTGGCCCAGTGCCCTGGGCAATGGCTCTCCCCACCCGTTGAAGCCCACAGCTTGTGTCTGTCCACCAAAGCAAGCGGGGCAGAAAACTAGGACTGGAAAAAACTTCACAGGCCATAAAGTGCTAAAGAGGGTGAAGGATGAATATGAGTTCAACCCATGTCTTGGTGGAAATGAAGTCATTCTGTTCCATTTTAGTCTCACTTTTCTTCATTTTTGGCAAGTTATAAAATAAAATTAGTTTTCATACAATAGGTCACTTCCAATTAAAGTATGAACATTTCACAGCCCAAGAAACACTCCGCAGCTGCGGGCAAGGTGAGGGAGTAATTTTAAAATTGAGAGGAGGAGGCCAAGGTGCCAAGGTGATCCTGGTGATACCCTGGGTCTGGTCTAACACCTTCTGCTCCTGCACGCTCTGACCTTGGCACAGTTCTTCCTGCTCAGAGAGGAAGGTCCAGGCTTCACACTGTCCCAGCGCTACGACCCACCAAACCGGCCGGTGAAAAGCCCAGGGCTGGGACTGGCCATGCACAATACAGGAAAAAGAATATCTCTCTTCCCACCACTTCTCAGAGGGTTCTCTGCCCAGCACGGATGGCTGTGATGGGGGGAAGCTGGTGTTCCTCCAGCCTCAGAGGCTCGGTGCTCCTGCTGCTGCCGGCATGGGCTGGGACATGGCAGGGAGGCAGCAGCCACCTGCACGCCGGGACGGAGCGAACGCTGATGCCCATGTTGATGCCGGCGCTGTCGCTGCACCCCACGTGGGTGTCTGTTATCTACACAGAGCCGGCAGCGCCTCAGCCACAGTGTATTTTTAGTGTGGGTTACAAAACGCTGCCGGTCTTTGAGAGACTTCTGCCTGCACTTGCCTCCCAACATCACATCTCTCTGTCCCGAGAGTCACCCTGGGGTCCCCTCCTCTGCACAGTGGCTCAGCAGCATCCCCCAGACAAGCGTGTCCCCGGCACAGCAGTGGCAGAGGTTCCAGGGTGAGCAGGCAGAAGCAGGCAGCTGGTCATTGCCCCATGGTCACTGGCAATTTCCCCCATGGGAAGAGCATCACCACAGGGGCTGTGTCACTGATGCAACCCTTCCCTCTGGAATAAATTGTTTTTTAAGGAACTTGCTGCCCCGGGAAGATAGATTTTTCCATGCTCCCTTATTTTTCCAGAGAGATGTTAGAGGAGACCCAGGATATTGGTGCATAGAAGGGGCTGGTCCTGGACCACCCTTTCCCCCTGTGAGTCTCTGCAGAGTTTTATGCAAAATAAGGATTATAAGCAAAAATATCCCAAAGTTAATTAATCTAGAAAACACAGTTTCTTCTAGTTCCTAAGCTCTGCACCTCCAAAATAGCTATCTCCTTTTGAAGTACCTGTCAAATCCAAGCTCAAAAGCTCAGTCTACCGAAGATCCCTCTAAGCATCTCCCTGCCATAAATATCCCACCTGAGATCTCAGCAGGGCTGGAAATCACAGCTGCTGTGTCTAATTACAGATGCATGCGCTAATCAGGGCTGACATGACGACGAGCACTGATCCTGCCTCGCAACTACTGATGGGCACTCGGTTAACCAGGGCAGAGTCCTCCACAAAGCAAAGCTAGCTGTGTCAGTCACACAAAGCCTGAGCCAGGCTGGCTGCTGCCTGGCACCCACTCGTGGGAGACAAACCTCCCCTTGCTCAGCCAGGAAGCATCACCGGCGCTTGGTCTCCTCTTACCACAGTGTTCATGGTCACAATGCTGGGGGGTCTTTTCCCAGGACCCCATTACTCCAGGCACCGTGCAGATAGAATTCTGTAAAACAGCTTTTTTTCCCCAAAAAAACACAGTGGGGTGAAGCACATCCATAGCAAGGTGGAGGCAGAAAACCTCCCTGCACCTGCATGTGACCCCAAGGGTGCTGCTGTGGGTGCAGCCCCCTTGCCCCCAGGCTCCCAGCTTGAGTCCAAGGGCATCAGGAGGCTGTGGCTGCTTGCAGCCCCCACACCCCCTGTGCTCCTCTCCCCCAAAGGCTCTCATTTTCCCCCTGCTCCCCTCTCTTTCTCTCCTAGGATTCAGCTCATGCACCCAGGACTGACAGAAAATGCCAGTTTCAGGAAGGTAATTTTTTAATTAAAATCTGACAGGTTTGGGCTCCTTCTCAACAGCCGCATCGTTACTGCTCATCCCCGCTCTCCCCGGAGAGCTGGGAGGGAGGAGGGGGGCTCCAAGGTGGGGCAACCACATTCCGCTGCACAGGAGGGAGCGGGGGGTCAGTGAAGATGGATTTTGCCATCTTTCTCCTCAGAGCACTCCAACCCCAGTGCTCCTCAGCTGCCAAATGGGGAGTTACTGGTGCCCCATAGG